CACTAGATCTAGATGCAGTATAATCTATTCTATGACCAATGACTGAAGGCTTTTGATATCATCACTGAAATCTCGTACATTCAAAGTTTAAAATTATTACAGTTAAAAATAGTTATTTTTACTTTATAAAGAGTTAAACATTGCAACAAATAAAGATTGAATGGAATAGAAGAACAAGAGGACTGATCCACGGGAAGTTATCATGGTGTATATTCTGAATTCTTGGGAGTTGATCCGCATTCTAGGCACAGGCCCGTGCACGTTCCGCGCGTTCACGTGCTTGGTTCAGCGTGCGGAACGATCCGCAGCAATCCGCACTGATCCGCATTCTAGTAACGCCCAGATTCGATTCCAGCGTCAACGTAACGTCAGGACTAGCGTAATATTGTAAATCCGCCTTAACGAAGATTTTGCAGCTGCTACGTATTAGTACGTAAGCTCATAGATAATAGAGTAAATGAAATTTCATTTACTCTATTATCTATGGTAAGCTTGGCTTGCTCAAGAGCCACACCCTAGGTCTTAATAAGCTTGACCTCGCCCACACACATTAATTATTAAAGAAGGCGTGGCAATATAAGTTTTGCTGCTGTGCTTCTGTTCGTCCTGACGGTCCTGTTCCAATCGCCCGGCACAGCAAAGAAAGAGGAAGAGATGCCGTCAAGTAATCTGTAGGATTTCTAAATATTGTATCACGGTATTCTTGTACAGAGAACAAGTTTAAAGCCAGAGCTGGAGCCATTACTCCACTGAAAATGCCAGAAGTCCAAGCCACACCAAAGCCACCTCCCAGCATGTAAAAATACAAAAATGATATAAAATGTATCACTGATTCTCTCTCCCTTCCTCTCATGTAGTGATTTACCAGATGTTGCTACAGTCACGATTGATAATGAGGTATTGTAACAGGAAAATTATGAGCTGGCAGCATTGTTTTATTATAATGCATTTTGTTATGTATAATATGTACTTGTGAGTTTAAATCTTTTATTGTAGACATTTGAGCTGTCAGTTGATGATCTTGACGTCGAGGAAGAGTTGGGTAGAGGGCAGTATGGGCAGGTGAACAGAATGAAACACAAGCCAACTGGAAAGATAATGGCAGTCAAAGTATGTACAGTTAAAGAGGTGAGTAAACACATGACACTCCTTTTTGTAGAGGATAAGAGCTACTCCGGATCAAGCTGAAAATAAGAGACTGTTAATGGACTATAATGTAGCCATGAGAAGCATAGACTGTCCATTCACTATAACGTTCTATGGGGCATTATTTAGAGAGGTATATACACCCACACACTTTTAATGTGCATGTGTGTGTACATACATGTACATGCCAATTTGTTTCTTTGTATTCAATAGGGAGATGTGTGGATATGCATGGAACTAATGGATAAATCACTAGATAAGTTATATCAGCTCGTTTATAAGAAATTGAATGAGAAGATACCTGAAGTTATCGTTGGCAAAATGGCCGACTCTGTAAGTGAAAGAAAGAATGAAGTGAAAGAAAGAATGAGAGTGAAGAAAGAATGAAAGTGTGCTATTGGAACTAAATAAATATGCCCTCCACTTTAGACATTAAAGGCATTAACATATCTTCATGATGAATTACAAGTGATGCACAGAGGTATGTCAACTGTTAGTACCAAGAAAATGTACACAGAAAAATGATGATAATGTATTATTTACACAGATGTCAAGCCTTCGAATATATTAATTAATAAAAAAGGAGAGATCAAACTGTGCGATTTTGGTATTGCTGGAGAGCTGGTCAATTCCTTGGCTAAAACTGATATTGGTTGCAGACCATATTTGGCAGTAAGTTATCTCTACTTACTATTCCTCCATTACACGTATCTCCTTTCTTTCTTATCTCTTCCTTACTCTCTCTCTCTCTCTCGCCCTTTCCCTCTCCTTTTTCTGTCTCTCCCCCCCCTCTCTCTCTCTTCCTAGCCTGAGAGAATATATGGTGGTCAGCACAAGTATGATCACAGATCTGATGTGTGGAGCTTGGGGATCACTTTGGTACGTGTACATCCACACCATGTGCAGTCAGAATATGCAGTTCATGCACATCTGCTGCTTATCACACATTCTTATCACAATCCTTACACACACACACATTGAATTATCAGATATTAATTAATCTTTTGTTTAACAACACACACACATACATACATGTACATTCACATTTTAGTGCGAGTTAGCAACTGGTGAATTCCCCTATCCTCCTTACCGCAACCTTTTTGAGCAAATAAAACTAGTCGTTGAGGGTGCCCCTCCTCAATTACCAGACGATGGAACCTTCTCTGAAGACTTTAGGGACTTTGTATCAAAGTGGTACGTTGTTTTGAAATTGTCTTAGCATAATATCAATATCCTTCCGAGCTTCCTCCTCACTCTGGTTGTGTATACATTTTCATTATGTGTATAGCCAAGTTGCTGGAGATGTTTTTCACTTGGAATGCCTCCGGTTTAATAAACAACACTGTGTTTAACTGTACATGCATGTAATGATTGTGGGAGTATCTTGTTAGTTGACATTTTGGGAATTTTTAACAATAACCTCACTTTCTCTTGTAGTTTTAACAATATTACCTCTTTCTCTCTTATTTCTCTTGCAGTTTGACAAAGGAACGGGATGAGAGACCTCGCTACGAGGTCTTAAATGTAAGCTCCACCCAAAACCACACCCTTTAATTAGTATTCCTTACTTACAGGGACACAAGTTCATAAAAACTATTGAATCGTCTGATGTCAATATTGCCGAGTGGTACGAGGGTGTCCTGCTGCGTGAGAGCAGTCCAGCTCCTTCGTTAGAAAAGCCAAAATAAGAACCATCATTCACCTGAAATTGAATGCTTGCCTAATTTTTGTATCCTCCAGTTTTCTATCTCTACCCCTCTCTTACACTCTCTAATTGTGTTCTACCATTTACATGTATCATGTTATATTATTATTATTATTATTACTGTTATGATCATGTTGCGCTTTTTTATACTTGATTGTCTTTTCTGATTTCCTTTGATATAGATCGAATTATTAAATTTAACAAAAAACAAATGAAAAAAGGAGCAAGAGATAGGGAAATATATAAACCAAAAGTATTGCATGAATTGTTGCTGAAACGTGTAAAAATAAGATGAAGAGAGAAATCAATACAAAATTACTAATCACAGAGGAGGTGTGTACAAGAATTGCCTGTACATTAATATTGGATACAAAAATAAATTATCTATACTCTAAAACGAGAGAGAGAACTAACTAGGGAAGGACCTGTACTCCTCCTCTCTCCGACATCACTTGCTTTCCTTGACCCTTTCATACCAGCTGGACACATCAACACTGACTCGCCCACTGTTATACAAGACAAAGAATTCTTTTTCCTGGAGCTGTACGTAATTAGGTCGCTGATCCGAGTCCTTGACTAGACTATAAAAGAAATAAAAGATTATTCTAGCATGACTCCCTGTGTTCAACCCACCCCCACCCTTTTACATTACCAGGCGGCAGTAAATTCACGAAGTTCCCGAGTGAAGTTTTCAGGAGGAAGAGACGGAGGGTCACCACTAACAACAGCATTCAACTGATCAAAGATGGTGTTCCACTTCTTGTAGGGGAAAGAGCCTTGAGCCAGCTCAACCTCAAATTGAAAATGTGGAACATTAAGTGGAGTAATTTATCTTTTGGTACTGTACACACAGCTATCATGTTAACATTGTGGCAGGCATGGAAAAGATTACAATACCCAACCACAAACCACCAAACACACACACACACACAAAGTCCACCACTGGGCAGGCAATGGGAGAAAAGATAAACATCTTTGATACTAAAAATCATAAACCTATCTCAAAGTCCATTCACCGCCAGCAAAACAAACTGCACTCCAGGAAACTGAATGAACGCTCTCTCGCTCGCTCTACATTTCTGAATGCATAAACTACTCTACTATCCTTACTAGTGTGATCCCATAGCTCCAGACATCAGACTGTATAGTGTAGCCCAGACATGCTCTAGCTGGGTCTATCCTCTCTGGTGCCATGTACGGGCGGCAACCAACATCCATCGTCCGAGCAATAGAGTCAACCAGTTTACCACTAATGCCAAAGTCACACAGTTTGAACTCACCAACCTTGCTGACTAATATATTACTAGGCTTGACATCTACAGGGAAGTCATACATGTACATTTAGATATAATATAAAAAGCTGTAATTAATAACCTCTATGAATAATTTTGAGCTCTTTTTGAAGAAAATGAAGTGCATTAATGACCTGTGATTAAAGAAATGCATATGCTACTATTGCATGGCTGTGTAGGATTCCTTCACTTACAGCTACTGTCATCTTTCCAAGTATATCTTCAGGTATTCTCTCATTCATCTTATTATAGACAATCTCTGAGACCTGGGCCATACTGGAATCCAATAGCTCCATACAGATCCACACGTGACCCTACACCAGTGACAGTGGGTTTATTATATGAAGGGGGAGGGTAAAGGGGGAGTGGCTAACCTCACGAAGCAGACAGCCATAAAAGTGAACAATAAAAGGACACTCCTTCACTTTTTTAATGACATCAAGTTCTAAGACATTACCGCCTGAAGTTCTGAGATCTTTCATTGGGATTTTCTGAACAGAAAAAAAAGAGAGAGAGTGAGTTAAATATTAATTTCAATTTGAGCTTCATTAGTTCTACCTTCACTGCCATGATGTGCTTAGCTGTGGTATGATTCATCTTTGACACAACTCCAAAATGACCCTCCCCTATACTACCAATGTCCTGAAGGTCATCATTACCACAAGTGTAGACCTACAACGTAACAATTACAATTATGAGTGAACATAAACCACACCTACCTCATCACCAATATGCAGTTTGTCAACTTCAAAGTTAACTGGTAAAATTTCAGCAGTAACAGGTGTAGCAGAAGAACTATAAAAAATTAAAGTTTAGCGTGTGCATTAATTAGGAATAGAATACTTACAGAGATGATGCTGGTGTCGTTGGGGTGGGTGTGGTCACAGAAAAGACGCCGGAATTTGACGGAGTTGAAGGAGTCCTGTTGTTGAACAACATCCTTGGAGGGCGTGGCTTTTTGACATCAATGTGCATTGCTTTAGGGGAGAAGCATGTATTTTGTATAAACACACAAAGGATGAAAATATTTCATTTAAAATAATTGTGTTTACTTCGTGGTGCCGACATGCTTTTTGCCTAGTACTGGATGATTGAGTGTTCCTAGAGTAAAAAAATCGCAGCACAAGCAGTTAGTTAGTTGTAGAGCTCTTCTCTCCTACTTTATTCTCCTTCTCTGTGGGACATACCCAGTTTATATGACCATACTATGTGGGAGTGGCTACATAACTTAGTGGGCGTGGTTCTGATAAAAACTATGGCGTGACGTCATGGAAATGAAGCAGCTGACTGCACTGCTCTGGCACTGGCTGTAAAGTGTTAAAACTATAAAGTAGGCATATTGAACCCAAGCTTTTTCTTATCAGGAGAGAATAAAGCCAATGTATCAGTTTTTTCAAGTAGGCTTTGGTCTAAACATGGTATGAAGCATGGTGCAGCAGCCTTCTGTTATTTTTTGTTCAACAACCACAACAAGTAGAAACAACAAGCTACTTAAATTTTTAATGTATATATCATATATATAATCTTTAATGATTTCACATGTTTTCTCAGACATGCACTTACAATCAATGTCTTGATTAATCTTCCATTTGATATATACAAGCAAAACAAATGTGGCGGCCATAACGATTGGAGTGGATTTTAATGATATCACTACTGCTATAATTCCTTTAACAGTTTTTGTAGTTGTAGCTGCTGCATCTACATGAGAGTAGACTACTATGAACTATGCAGGTGCAATTTATTCATTGTTTACGTGGGTGGATCAATACTGGTAGCCTCCACCACCTCCAGGTTCTGCACAGTTTCCCAATTCCGCCCTCACAAACAACTTGAAACAAGATGCCAACAGAGAAGAAGAAACTTCTCGAGGAACCTCCACCAAGTAAAATTGAAACTGTTTCGTTAATTCTAGATTTCATTTTTAGGCTATACTTCTGCTCCACCAGTTTATTACACCCAACCTCAGGTAAGGCATAGACTTAAACCTACTACAACCTATACTGAATTGATGTAGCAACCAATTCCTGAGGCTTCTCTTCCTAATGATTATCTTATGCTCTCAGTGTTCTCAATCATTTGTTGCTTCTGGCCAGTTGGTGTCATTGCTCTCTTTAAATCTATGGAGGTGAGATCAATTTTTATTTTCACTGAGCCTATAGACCCCCTAGGCGCTAAGACTATTTTGAATGAATTATTTACGGTAGCCACCCACGATTAAAATTACTGACGGCAAGAAGCTCTCCACATCAAAGGCAGATCAAAGCCCAAGGTGCCGAAATGAAGCATAGCAAGAAAACTATGTTGCAGCAACAGTTACCTGGTCTATATGATGTAGTCTGGCCTCCATACCTTCCACAAATGCTGCTTGTAAGCCTATAGTACCTTGTAACGCTCAGAAAAATGGCCAGGCGGTGTCACCGCCTTTGATTTTCTTTTGATCTCGAGGCCTTCTTGCCGTCAGTAATTTACATTGTGGGTGGATACCGTATAGGAAAATTTTATTTATTATGAATGAATATCATTATTGTAATCATATTCATTGAAAATAATCTTAGCGCCTAGGGGGTCTATATGACATACAGATGTGATAATAACACAACAAGCAAACATTACCATGTGTATTTGTATACTTTGCCTTTAGTGAAAGTCCAGTTACGTATTTTGCTAATATATAAACACTGATGTTGTTGGATTTAATATTGTTCCTTTTCTAGACTCAGCGTTACCGTAAAGATGGCTGCCTAGCTAAAGCCCAAGCATCCTCACTTGAAGCAAAAGGCTTCAACATGATATCCATTGGGATAGGAGCGACCTGCTATATCTTCTTTGCAATAGTATTGGTGACAATAATTAGTATAGTAGCAGCATAATAGCAGGCACACTAGCTATAATAACATTGCTGCTCTATTTACACTTTTTAAGATCTAATAGTTTTATGTCATCAGTAATAAACTTATGATAGACTAGTTGTTAAAATGTTACTGATTGTTTGTGTTCAAGTATGTTGGCTTTCATTGTTTTGTGTTTTATTGTAAATTAAAATAATGAAATCAGTTGAGGTGTAAAAAGCCTGACTTTTTCCAAATCTGAAGTTTATAATGATTATAAAATGCAATAAAAACTGTGTGGGTGGATCATCATCAAGATTCAAGAAGCTAGCTGTTGTAGATAATTCCGCCCTCTCACAAACAAAACAGGAAACAAGATGTCAGCAGAGAAGAAGGAGCCTCTCGAGGAACCTCCACCAGGTAAAAAGGAAACTGTTTCTTTAATTCTAGATTTCATTTTTAGGCTATACTCCTGCTCCACCAGTTTATTACACCCAACCTCAGGTAAGAGAGCCTATAGTACTCTCATACTGAATTACATGATGTAGCAACCAATTCCCGAGGCTTCTCTTCCTAATGATTATCTTATACTCTCACTGTTCTCAATTATTTGTTGCTTCTGGCCAGTTGGTATCATTGCTCTCCTTAAATCTGTTGAGGTGAGATCAATTTTTATTTTCACTGAACCTATAGACCACCCTAGGCGTGAATTGGAAAAGTTATGAATTTCATTAATTTTATATACGGTACCCGCCCACACATCATAATTGGCTGCCATTTTGGTTGGCAAGTTTATTATGGAAGTCAATGGAGGCACGAAGAAAATGCCTCACATACCTGCTGTAGCTCTATCAATAGCTAAAAAGCGCTTGTTATAAGAAAGAACAGCTGCCTCTAAGCTTCTCCTGTCAAGGATTTGGTCAAATTTGCTCCAAAAATTTTAATACAGGTTTGTTTTTATGTCGGCCCGTTTGTTCTCCATTGAAAGTTGCCAACCAAAATGGCGGCCGGAATTTATTTCATCCTAAACCACGCCTTACAACCGTAAAAATTTCTAATAATCTTCCTACGCATTCAATTCTCGCCTAGGGTGGTCTATATCACACATAGATGTGATAATAACATAGAATAAATTATCAATTATCGGGCACCACCCATTTTCGGATACTTGTCTTAGGAAAACTAGATCTATAGACCCCTTTCGGCGAGAAGTAGCAGCTTGTGAATATCATTAATTTTGCAATGAATATCATTATATCTCAGTTACGGTATACGCCCACATACAATAATTGGCCGCCATGTTTTACGTCAAGCAGCAAGTGCTTTCTGTGTCCTGGAGATCTTGGTCACTACATTTTGAAGCTAAAAACTATTCTAGAGTCAAGAAAAATGCCAAGAGAGCCAAGTGCAATACTTTTGTTGTATGAGCCTGCTTTCCTCTTTGGGCTGTGACAGAGAGTCAAGAACTGATCGTTCTGGCTCTCCCAGACTTCTTAAGTCTTCAAAATATCTTGCTATAGTAAAGAACAGTTGATATGAAGCTTCTCATAGTCCTGAGTTCAGCACAACAAAAGTTTTATTGGCAAAACAGCTCTACTTTGCACATCAGCCATTGGAACTCTGCATAACTTTGACGTAAAACATGGCGGACAAAAATCCGTTCAATATTATTTCTTTGTATATACGGTATCACAAACTAATTCTCGCCTAAAGGGGTCTATACTTTGCCATCTCATTAAACTGCAGAATATTGTAGTAATAGTTGTACTTTATTTGCATAAAAATAATTGTAGCTCTAGCAAGAGTGCAGCAAAAGTTATCAGCTCTCAAAGCAGGGTGTCCAAAATTACATATATTCGGATAAATTCATCAATGTTCGTACGGTTATTTCTACACGGCAGGAAACAATAGTTTTAGAAAGTCAATATGATAACTTTGTAGGTTTGTCTTTAAACTAATACTACGTTTACACTAGCTTCTTTAACTGAGCCAGCCCTGTTTAAAGTGGGTCAGCACAGTTTCATTTGATAGTGTAAACAGCAACCAAACTGAGCTGAAGTGAGCTGGGCCAAACCAGGCTACTCAAATAAAGTACAACTATTACTACAATATTCTGCAGTTTCATGAGATGGCAAAGTATAGTTTTCCTAAAACAAGCGTCCGAAAATAGGTGGTGCCCAATAATTGATAAGTTACTCTAACAAGCAAACATTACCATGTGTATTTGTATACTTTCCCCTTTAGTGAAAGTCCAATTATGCATTTTGCTAATATGTAAACACTGATGTTGTTGGATTCAATATTGTCCCTTTTCTAGACTCGTCGTTACTGTCAAGATGGCCGCCTAGCTGAAGCCCAAGCATCCTCACGTGAAGCAAAAACCTTTAACATGATTTCCATTGGGATAGGAGTGGCCATCAATATCATTGTTTTTTTCTTTACGATACTAGCTGTGGTGACAACTGTTGCAATTTCTGTAGCACAATAGCAGTTACTGCTAGCTAAAACATTGCTGTGGCTCTATTTACATTTTTTAAAGATCTGATAATTTTATGTCATCAGTAGAACACTTATAATGATAGACTAGTTGTTAAAATGTTACTGATTGTTTGTGTTTAAGTGTGTTGACTTTCATTGTTTAGTGTTTTGATGAAAATTAAAATAATGAAATCAGTTGAGGTGTAAACACAAGAGTCGGGCTGGCCCACCTGACTAGGATATACTTATATATAATAGTTTTAAAAAAAATGTGACATCATTGATGTGATGTCACATCATTGCATTGTGTTATAAAGCATCAGTGCAGACTGCAGAGCTCACTGAGTTGTACATCAAGCATTTCGGCTCTTTTCTTAAATATTATCAGAGAGAATGAACTATCAAGCAAATATGTCAGGATTTGCCTCTGCAGGTAAGTTTGATTTATTGTGTGATAGGTGCAGATAGATGCTCTCTAAATATTGTTTAATTTTATAATTTATTTTAGTACCATCAGAAGGTACAACACAGCAGCCTTCTATTGTTGTCATTCAACAACCACAGGTATACAAACAATAAGCTGCTGTCTTCACATAATTTGTTTGTATTATACAGAAGTCTAGCACTCTGACTGAGCCTTCTCCTGATTACCTTGGGCTTTCAATTTGTGCCATATTTTGTTGCTGGATAATTGCAATATTTGCAATAATGAAGTCAATGGAGGTAAAATCACTAAAACTAATTTTTAAATAATTTTACATGTTTTCTCAGACACGTACCTACAATCAAAGTGGTGATTATGATAAAGCTCTACAAGCCTCATCTCAAGCAAAAAGTTATAGTATAGTAGCAATAATATTGGGATTGATACTCAACGCTCCTCCTATAATACTAATTATTGTATTAAATATAGTAGCAAGAGCAAATTAACTGCAGAGACAGTATGATGTTCAGATCAACATCATGTGCATGTGTGTGAGAGAGAACTTGATTTTTAGTTACTGTACACTGTGATAATGTTTCTTAAATAATTTTTGGTTGTGTTAAAACTCAGCCAGATCAGCTAATTGTGTGTGGGTGGGATTATTGAGCTATGACGTCATTGGTGTATTGGGCATAAAGTCGGTGTATTTTTGTTTGTCACAACAAGATGTCAGAAGAGAAGAAAGAGCCCCCACCAGGTAAGAAAGTAATGTATCGTTAGTTGTACTCTCATTGTTGTTAGCTTATACTGCTCCTCCACCAACATTTATAAATGGAAATGAAGCTCAGCTCGACTGCAGAAAGTAGCAATCTGAATTTTATAATCATTGTAAAATGCAATAAAAACTGTGTGGGTGGATCAATAATCATTCCATGATACTGGTAGTTATCCACCTCCAGGTCCTGCACCGTTTCCCAATTCCCACTCTCACAAACAAGAAACAAGATGCCAACAGAGAAGAAGAAACTTCTCGAGGAACCTCCACCAGGCAAAAATGAAACTGTTTCGTTAATTCTAAATTTCATTTTAGGCTATACTCCTGGTCCTCCAGTTTATTACACCCAACCTCAGGTAAAAGCATAGGATTAAAACCTAGTGCTCTAAATCCTGAATTACATGATGTAGCAACCAATTCCTGAGGCTTCTTTTCCTAATGATTATCTTATACTCTCACTGTTCTCAATCATTTGTTGCTTCTGGCCGGTTGGTGTCATTGCTCTCCTTAAATCTATTGAGGTGAGATCAATTTTTATTTTCACTGAGCCTATAGTGACATACAGATGT